TTGCCCTGAGGGGACTTGATTGCTTGCCTTGATGGTTCCCAGATGAACAACTTGCTTGTTCTTGTAGTAGTCAATCAGACTGCTGTTATTGTTTTAATTTTTCCTACTGGTCTTTCTTTCAAGAAGTGTCTTCTGTTCTTCTAGCTGTTCCAGGCTGGTTTGCTTGTCCTTTCAAGTGGAAATTTCCCACCTCAGAAGATTCTGGATGGGGATCAAGATTTCACCTATGGTCTTATGCAATGTAAAGGCTCCACAGGAAACCTCTTTCATGGGCATCTTGTAACCCCATTTTAGGTATTCCAGTCAGTTATAGGCTGAAGACTGGCTTATACGCTTTCTATGGTGATGTTTCTGGCTGTTCCTTTCTCTCCCATCAAGTGTCTATTTTACAATAGTAGGCAAGTGAAACCAAGATTCAAAAGACAGTCAAGCATCTGAACATTATTTCCCTTCTTTTACACATTGAAACCCTGCCTCAATCCCTATATCCCAAAGCCCTATTCTTCCAAGGTTGAGCATACATCACTATTTACCTCTGTCCCACTTAGCCCATGCAAACCTGCTTAAATGTTCTCCCATCCACCTTCTTGTGTATTGCCCATCCTCAACACCCAAACTATCCTGTGTGTATTCCTTACCCTGTGCTCCGCCTTTTCCTCCTTCCCCTCCCTCCACCTCCTACACCCCAGTAATGAACAAAGGGTCCCCCCCCCCTTTTTAGTGTGGATTCTTTTTCTTAATCGTTTATAATAATGGTCCTATGCAGTATTTCTCCTTTTGACTCTTTATTTTTTATTATTGGTCTTTGCAATTATGAACATTACATTTCTTACAAGTTACTATGAAATTGTAGAAACGCTGATAGAATTACATTATTTTTGGAAAACTTAAAACATGCTCATAGTATTAAAGTGCTGTAATTTTTTTCCCTCTCCTTAGGTTACTCTTTATGCAGGATGAATTAAGAGAGGAGGCTGATAACTAATTAAGAATGGAGAACATTTTGTCAGTTTCCAATATGCAAGACCCTTCTTCACCCTTGGAAAAGCCTCACAGCTCAGCAAATGGTAACGGAGATCTTGATTCAGGTAGGATTATGGTATCTAGATCCATCTGACTTTTTGATTTATTGATCAACATTTTCTTGAAAATGTTCAGGAAACAATGGGGCAATATTTCTAGAACTCACATTCTGTCTGTTGTTTGAATGTGCAGTCATATTTGTCAGCATATAGCTGCTTAAAAGTTATGCAAGGTTTGGTTGAAAATTAATATTACCTAACCTAACAACAACAGCAACATGCTACTGTGAGAAGTAGGTTTGAATTGCTAGGTCAGCGGATTCAAACTCACCAGCTACTTCTCAGGAACTCTCTGCAGGGTCGCTGTGGATTAGAATCGACTTCATGGCACTTAACAGCGACATCCTTTTCAGAGTTCTGGTGTGGGGCTGTAGGATAAGCACTAGATTGCAAGGTTGATTTGGACCATAGGATTGTGGCTCAAACCCACCAGTTGCTCCTTGGAAACTCTATATATACAGTGTCAGTGTGAGTTGGAGTTGACTCGATGGCACTTAACAACAAATCCTAGCCAGGTTATACTGAGAAAAAGATGACTTCAGAATCTCAATGGCCTACCACAATAAATGTCTATAAGTCATTTGCACTTTATGTGATCGATTACCTGGGTGATCTGTTGCTCAGAGTTATTCACCATCGTTCAAGGCTGCCATCTCAACATGGTGCTTCAGGATTTTCCTGGACGGGAAAAGCAGAGCTATTTGGTTTGGGCCTAGCAATTAAATGCTCTAGCTCACTATTTAGATGTTCCTGCCACTACAAGGGAGGCAAAAGTGTAATTCTCACTAATGTGCCCAGAAGAAAAGGAGAACAGAATCTGCCTAAGTAGTAGGTATCAGACCCTTCCCTAGGTTCTTAAGCATATCTTCCATGCAAAGTACATAATGTAAAAGAAATTTAGATTATGTGAATTTGTGGTAAAGTGTTTTTTTTTTTTTTAACCCTTCAAGAAATTCAAAAGAAAAACAAAACCTTTGATTGAATTTAATACTTAATTAAATATGTTTATAAGTGAATATGTTTCTAAATAATACACAATAGAGGGTGTGTTTTTAAAGGATTGTTTTTAAAAAATAAAGGATTGCACTATTTACATGGCAGCAAATTAAATAAAGACTAAGTTGTCTGGATCATAAAGCTTTGGTATGATAAATTAATATTAAAAAAAGGTGTTCATTAATTAAGTTTGATATTTGTTATGCAAAGAAGTTACAAAGTTTGTCTTCACATTTGGATGAGACTAGTCAATGACATAATTATCGGTTGCTTGATATTGTCAAATTTAGTAGGTTCAGTTTCTCAAGTTTTGTCTTTATCTAGAATTATCTTTTTATCTGGAAGGAATCTGGTAAATCCTGAAATGAATGATTGCCTAGATATGTTGAAAGATGTTAGTATTTATTTCACAATCAGCTCCATCCTCCCCCTTTCAGAAATTCTGCACAGAAAGCTGTGAGTTGGCATCTCTTAAGGAAGCAGCTATCTCTCTAACTGTAGAAATGAATTGTTCTCCTTTGGACGCAGAAATATGTAAATTCCTTTCTGAGGTCAATCCCATAGATTGAAGCGTTCATTCTAATTCTTTTATTTTTTTATTTGACTACAAATATACCTTTTTAAAAAAGTCTGTCTGAGTGATGGTATTTTTCCACTTTTGGAAACTTTCTGAGCTTTTGTCATATGTTTTTGTAATATGTCATCATCACAGATCTGATGCTTACTCCTGCATCCTTTTCAATGTTAGATTTTCAAAACTGTTTAAAACCCAGCTATTTATTGAGTTTTAATTTTCATGCAGGTGCAATATATTTCTCAAACTTAAGTAGCTTCTGAAACTCATTAATAATAATCTGTTGTTAGGAAAATAATTGTACTGTATTATCCTTGAGAATGATTCTACATCATGTGTGGGTGAAGTATTAGAGCTTGATTCATTATATCTTTGCACAGGTATGTCATAGTGAAAGCCCATCCTATACTTATCTCACAATTAGTTCCTTGCTCTTGTGTAGAGGACAGCCTAATGCAGTGAAGCATGTTAAGATTTTTAATAGAAATAGTATTCTAATTAGCACCAAATTATCTTAATAATTTTCAAGGATTGGCTCTTGGTTTTTATTTATTTTTGCCCTATGTTACTAATCTACCCTTTTTTCCTTAGAATTGCCATTTGTACTTGTGCTGTGAGAGGACTCTTATTACACAAAGACTCTTAAGGAAGAAATAGGTTTCAAGGAGGGTCAAATGTTTTGTGAAGAAGAAAGGCAGACTTCATTCTAGAAATGTAATCTTATAGTGTTTACACCATTAGTAACAATAAAGTATGATCCTTCACGTAGTTGATTTATTTTTATTAAAGCTGTTAACTTTTAGAGGAGCCCAGTGAAGCAAGTGGTTAAGCACTTGGCTGTGAATGGAAAGGTTGTTGGTGGTTGGTGGTTTGAACCCTTATATTGGCTCTGCAGGAGAAAGATGTGCTTCTACAACGATTACAGCCAAGAAAGCCATGGGGGGCAGTTCTACTCTGTCACATAGGGTCACTGTGAGTCACAATTGTACAACAACACTGACACTTCACTTTTAGCCTGTTAATATAGATAATCTTTTTTTT